TCCAGGAAATCAGCTTTTGTGGCACTTCCAACCCTTTGCTCTCTCTAGGAGACTGCCAAAGATGCCAATTAGTGCAGTTGTGGTAGTTTGTGATACGAGCAAGCATCCATTAGGAACTAGACTGAGACCCACTCAATTTATTTTGTCAGATGGTGACAATTTTCAGTCAGCATAACTGGGTTCAAAACAGAATTAGATACGTTCCTGGAGGACAGGTCCATCTGGATTTGAACATGTATCCCCAAATGGTCAAATGACCCATTATACACTTCTCTGTTTTTCCAACGTTAGCAGCTTCTGACTCAATGGCAGTTGCAGTAAATCTGAGCCGACATGGCCACAATTTTCAACTTCCTCCTTGACCTTCCCCAGTTTGGAGAGAGCAAATCCCCTCGTTACCAAGAAAACAGGAGGCCACCTGCCCAGCTAGTACTGCACTCCCCTAGCTGCTGTCATTCAACTGTGTGGAGTCACTAACTCATCTCTGCCCCAATGCCCCCGGCCCCCAAGGGAACAGCAGCTGGGTCAGTACTCACACTGGACTTGGCACAGAGCTCTCCAGTTCATCCAAAAGGCTCTCCACACTGGGACGCACATCCTCAATCCCACGCCCTCCGTTCCGCTTTGGCTTCTCTTTTGTAGGGGGTGCTGCCTTCACCCCCAAAGAGCTAGTGCTCTCTGGGACAACATAGTGAGGTCCAGTCCCACTGGGCAGGGAGGGGCTCCCGCTGGCTTCATCTTATAGGAAAAGAAACCAAGAGTCAATAGACCCTCACTTACAGTGGAAAGAGGCAGGTACAATATGGGGAGGACAAAAAGGAGGATGAACTGGGCAGGGGAGAAAGAGTTACAGGGAGATTTATACATGGAGGGAGGTGTGAGATCCAGGCATCAACATACCTAGCACTGACACACGGGTCATCACTTCCTACCTGTTGGGAAGCCACTAGGGGGATTGTGCTGAACAGCGTTCAGTTCTAGGAGTAGTCGGTCCAGTTCTGACAGGTTGCTGCCCAATGAAGAGCTCATCATGGTGGGAGATGGTTCTGCAGATTTCTGCTTGTTGGGAAAACTGGGTTGAGAGGGAAAAGAGGAGTGTAAAACTGGAGTCACCTCCCTTTGGGGTGAAAGATAAAGCATGGTGGGGTCTGGGGAAAGCTTTGTAACAAGAGCCCCACAGGCACCTTGTCAGGAACCCAAGACATTTAATGTACACACTAAAAACACAATCAATAAATGCACTCAGCATAGTATCAGCTGGTGCTCATTGTTGGAGCACATTAGCAACAAAGCAGCTGATCAGCTGTGTCCTCACTCTGCAATAGCAGCAATGAACAAAGATTTCTATGGCTGCATGTAGCACAGGGTTAACAGACTGCAGATCAGGGATATGCAGAAGAGAAGCAGAACCATTAGCTAGCATAGAAGAAAGTCATTTGTTTCCACTGACATCACAAAAGCAAGAAAGAAATTCCCTCCTTGAGGAAGAGGTGGAGCATGGCTGGTTTAGAGGAAGGGAAGGCAACTGAAGTTTTGCATTCTGCTGTCTAGCCCAGGGATGGGCAAACTTTTTGGGCCGAGGGACACATCTGGGTGGGGAAATTGTATGCAGGGCTGGGGCAGAGGGTTAGGGGGCGGGAGAGAGTGCGGTGTGTGGGAGGGGGTGCGG